CTGATATGATAAACACAACTAAGTTTAACAAAATACTTAAGAAACAGCTGAAATATCTGAGGCAAGCAAACATTTTTACTTATGTACCCAATGCAACCAGTTATCTTTAATAAGTTGCCAGTATACTGAATTTGTTTTACCTCAAGTTACATTATATGCACCAAAATTAACTACAAGGGACCCTGAATCAAAGTTTAAAGCAATATGTGGTATATACATACATCAAGATCAAACTAAGCACCTTTTAGACCCAAAGACATTTTGATTTGTAAGATTTCACTTGCATTATTAGCAGACTGTCCACCGCAGGTACCCAAAGGAAACAGTGATTTCATCTTCATTTCCATCTGCACAGCAATTCTTAAGTTGCATAAATAACTGCAAGAGCAACTATCAGACCCCTAGGCTTAGAAAACTCTTTTCGCCTCATGTTTAACAAAGTGATCTTAATAATTTTCTTATTCAGTTTTAACATATTCTTTTAGATCTTGAAAAGAATAAGCAGTGCCCTTTCAATATCCATTACTTTCATTTCCCTTGTTTCAGTTCCTTTGATGCAACTCATTAAACTTCTTTTTGTGGCCATAAATCCCCTGAGCTCCATAAGCATTTTGTCCTACTCTATGACAGCAGAGGTACCAAATCAAGCCCAAATATGCTTTCAGTTTAAAAGTTCATGCATATCATAAACACCAGACCGGTTTCCCCTTTGTTCTAAATTAAAGTGAAATAAACACAAACAAGACAACTAGATGCACAAAGGCCAGTTTATGCATTCAAGCAGACCTAGATTCAACAACAGTTTCAATAAATAATGCATCCTCTGACATCAGGATATTCTGTTTAACACAAACACTGACAAATTTATTTCTACAGAGTTTTTGAAGGCAGTTTATAAATAGACACTGAAGTCAACAAATACTGACCTCTACCATGTGACTGTTGTGATCTTGATCTTCATTGCACAGTGAGGTCAGAAGGCTACCAAGATAGTTTTATCATCAAGAATTATGTAAACGCATTTACATAACAATGCTGCTAATAAAAGCTAAGTTATAATTTCTGAGCAGAGGACTTTGTACTACATATTTGGCATTGGAAGTTTCTTTACAACATGAAGCATTTGAAGCCAGTGCCAAATTTAACACCTAATGTTTTTAACACTCTTCACTGGTCTGAGGGAGGAGGCTTCAGCACTACATTCAAAAGGTGTCTGAAACCAAACACCCCTTTCATAATAACTGGATTTTTATGTAGCAGAATGACTTCCCATTAAGTATACAAAAAAACCTCCACGCTTTCATTATTCATAATTTCTGAAGGGCTATTTCACCTGAGATGGAAAAGCAAAACATTTTCAGTAGTTAGTTATTATTCACAGCTGGGTTCCTGTGGGAACATTTTCTGCATCACTGTTGCCATAGTAATTACTATAGAAACCCTGAATGCAGTAGAGTAAAACCTGTTGAAACTATTGTTCTGTTAAAGCCCCAGTCAAAGTTTCAACACAGGACAGAAAATGTTCACTTACCTCTGCTTCTGCCAGAAATAAGTTATGGTTTCTAGTCTCTTCAATATAAACACACTAACTACATTACAGGCATTTCAGCCCACGACCACTTTACAAAAGCACACAGAAAACTTCGACAAATAATCTTGTTACAAGTACAAAATCCTATAATTATAAAATAACATGATACCAGTGATGACTCTGAACATATGTATTTGTTGTTTTGTCCCAGGTGTGAACACACACTGATTTTTTTTATTACTATTCCTTCTGAATTAATACACTTCCTGCAAAACCAGGAATCCACGTGTTCACATGGATCAGACAAGAGATGGAGGATTTTGGGACCAGTGATGGGTTGATCTGTCAATGGAGAAAATTTCCTCATCTCTTTCAAGGTAAGACTGGCTGTCCATGCCTGGAACCAGGAAGGCCCATATCTTTCTTATTTTATGTTAGTTATGAGATTTGTTATCGATTACCTTAACAAACACAAGTATTTAGTTGCTTTCCTTCTTCAGTAGAAGAAATCCAAACAGATGCTGATTTGATCAATGAAGATGCAAAATTAGTTACCATTTCCTTTATGGCCATGGATACCAGAACTACTGTTGTTAGCCAGAGCAACAGGAACAGAAGGTAAATCCTACCCTACTTCTGTTGAATATGCTTCTAGAGCCAAGCTCTTCAATTTTATCCCATCACTTATAGTATATCTCTTGATTAATAAAATACCATCTTGCTTTTGGTACAGCACTTTTCCAAATGCATAAAAATGATGTTCTATGATTCTATAAAAAATTGATATGAAAAGATTTCACTTCACCCAACACTCTCCGCACTTCCAATAAAAGTGGGGTCTTTTGCATTAAACACAAACAATTTAACAATGCTGCCAGATTGATTGACAGCATTATTTGCCTAATACCGCTATAAGTAGATCTCTTAAGCTTGACAACCTCAAACTGGGAGATATATATGTAGCAATGAGATGAGTCAATCATTTGGGAGAAGTGGCATAGCAAGGAAGAACATACAGAGCTCAGCCTTGCAAGTCTAATGCTCCAGCACACGCTCTTTGTTAAGGGTAAAGATTAACGATAAGAAGCTGCTTTCTCATTCTTAATAGAGGAATGTGGCAACAGAATTAACTGAAGCAGCAGTCATATCCTGTGCATGGCATCTGACCTTGTGATCTCAATCTGAATGTAAAGAACAGAGAAGCAGCACCGAGCACACATGATAAGCAGACAACATACACTGGCTGCAATAAACACTGCAAGGGGTGGAATTGATGAAGACTGGTTTCTGTGGAAGCAGGCCCCGTGTTTCACCCCACACCTCAGCACATTCTGTCTCATTAGCCCTGCGACACTTGCCATGGAAAAACTGTGGTTAGTGCAGAGCAACACATCTGCTGGTAGGGTCCTGCCCAAAGAACAGAACATGGCTATACTCTTCGGCAGCCTTCCTTGCAATGGTGATCTAACTGGGGTCTCTAACCCCCACCCAGATAAAGTTACATTAAATCTTGTGGGTTTTGGCTCTGATATTTTTTGTATTTTTTTTTAAATGAAACCAAACAATGGGTTGAAAAGTTACTGGCAAGAAAGACAGCACAGTCATAAGCCATTTCCTGAGGAAACTAGGCTTTCTTGAAACCACACACACATCTTTCTGCATATCTGACTTTTCCAGGTAACCTGAAAAGCAAAGTAAATGGTTTCATAACTTCCCACTCCCCCTTACATCCTACTGAGGGACATAAAAGTTGGGGGGTGGGGGGTGGGGGGGGTGGAGTGGGGAGTTGTTAAATATTTTTTTTAAACTAAAAATGTGTCACAACTTTTTCCTTCAAGTACATTTATGGAAAGGGAAGAATTAAAAGTTGTTCTTTAAATCATCATAATGAATCAGGCACCCCGGTTCGGGAAAACAAGTGCAATGGTCTTCCCCAAAGGCCATAAAAACAGGCAGCTGTTCTCAAGAGAGAAAAATTTAAAATTACAAGCTAGTGAAAAATATTGCATGTTAAACCTAAACCACAAAGAAGTCTAACACCGCGTGTAATACGTTAACCAAGAGCTCCAAGGTGATCATGCTAAACTGAATTGCACCATGAAAAGAAAATGCAGAAAAGAAACAATGCAGTATTAAGTTGTCTTTAAATGGAAACCTCAAACAGTTACATCTTTGCTGTAGTAGAACAGCATTACAGTACACTTGTAATGAATGAGTTCTACTCTGAGAAGAAGCCTCAGCAAAGAAAAATTTGCCCTATAGTGCATTTGAGATTTAACTGATTGCTAGAATGATATTAAGGCATTAAATTACCATAGAAGACATTTATTGTAATGATGCTCTGATATCATGAGTGTAAATCTTTGCACACCAGATTACAATGTCTAATAGACAATAACATAATAAAAAGTGGATGTTATGACATCTTTACAACAGCTTCATACGAAACCCTTCCCATTCCCACAGAAATATCAGTCTATGAGTCGCTGTAAGGAACCTGAAATTCTAGATATTTGACTTTCAAATAAATACAGATACATTGAATAACCAAGCATTTTTCATCAGAAGTCAGTGCTGGCAACCAAAGAAATCCATGTGCTTTGGCAAAATTTTCACTTCATTTTGTAATGAATTTTGTAGCAAATTAAGACAACAAGCATCCATCCTGATCCCAAATTTTGCTCCATTTTGTTTACCTGAGCAATTTCTAAGTTGCTAGATTAGGCTGAGAAAAAGGGCTAGCAGTTTCCTCAGGGGAAACACAGCTTCTTGTTTCACCAGGCTACTAACTGTCCTCATACATTCACCTAGCAGATACAAAACCTAAATCAACTGTGGTCTAAGGATGGATGAGACAGTTCCAAAGACTATCAATACTCTGGCAAAAAAGACAGTCACAGATTCCTTGTTGGGCAAAAATATATTAACTGGATCTCTGATTAGATCAGCTTGAGTTGAAACAGGCCAGGAAAATAATACTCAAGATCTTTGATGGAACTTAACACAAAACCATTTCCTTTAAATAAGGACATCAGAATCTAAAGCAATTATTTTGACATTTCTAGAGTCCTTTGACAATCTTTCTATCTGCTCTTTGTGACAATTACGTGTTTCTGTAGGTAGAACTCAGCTGCTGAAAGGCTTGAGGCATGGAAAGAGAAAAACATGATCACATCCTAGCTGTACTGTTTATTAGAAAAACAAACAGAATGAACATTCAGGGACAGTATTCCCAGGGAGGCAGGGACAGCTGCTTCAGTTGCATGAACCTGCCACATCAATAGAGGAATATAAAACACTATTACTCTGTTTATGACCACAAAGTTACTGTATACAGTTTTTGCAAACTGCAGTGTACAGAATAAGGGGACATTTCACAGTTGTTTTGCTGTAAGCAGGCTATTTAGGAGCTATAAGAGAGACCTCTCCAGGCTGACAGGAGAAAACTACATAAAGCACACATACAAACCTGAAGGACACTGCTGGACACAGTCCAGTCTTACATGCACAGCACACATAAATACTATGAGCAAAATCACACAGGAATAACCTTCAAAGAGGAAAAGAAGAAATGGTTCAGGTGATTGAAGAATTTACTTTTTCAATACTGATACAAAAAAAATACCATGAAACCAAGTATTGTAATATTAATTCCTCCAAAACAAAGGACAACCATCAGTGTGTGAGAGAAGTTTGGCTAAGCCTGAAATGGAATTAAAGCACTATACATTTTTTTTAAATTAAATACCCTATGGAGTCACTCCCAGCCCCACAGAAAAACCAACCACCAGCTATTCACATCCAGTTGGTAAATACAGCCCCCTGCTGCGCAACGTACAAAACCTGGGATGCAGGTACCTTCCTGCCACCGTGCTCCATGAGCCGTCTGTAAATTACCATGTACTCCCTCAGTCGCATGCAAAATTCCGACGGCAAAAACATAACAAAAGAAATTCAATTTTCTCACAACTCCCCTACTCCGCTAAACAGAAAATGGGAAGATTCTGAATGTGCAGGTATTAAGCAGCCTACTCACTGTAGGATATGAGAACCTTCCCTTTAAATTCCCCTCTCCTTGTGTTTCATAATATTTCTTTTAATCAAGCTGGTCTCTTCTCCCAGGTAAGAAGTGACAGGACAAGAGGAGTAGTGTAATTGAATTCACTTTAAAAGATGGTTTGAGAATCCATTCTTTAAATGAGGATATAACTAACCAGACAGCTGGTAATATACAGTTAGCTTCTGGCCTTCACCACTGAATGCAAAACATGACAGAGCAGCTGATGATACAGCAGGAAACAGTACTTACATTCCTGCCAACAGATTAGGTTAATATTTACGAATTTTCATTTCTACTTCCCACAGTGATATTGAAGTTCATAGTCAGGGAAAACACGTGTTCTTAATCATAACAAATAAGTGGATATTCTAAAATACTTGCACATTTTTCAGTACTTTGCAATGCTCTTATTTTAGTCACGGATTCTGGTTTTCTATTCATAATTACCTTAATATGAGCTATCAGCATTAGCCCAGGTTTTCTTTCCCACACCAGAATAAATCTACAAATTTAGCTAGGGTATTTCCTTATGTAGTTACAAGACAATGTAATGACAACTTACTACAGAAAAGTTCTCTTCCATATCTGAGAGATTTGCAGATGACCCACTGTATTTAGCTTGAAAAATACATATTCAAATTAAACATTCATCTATAGAGATTTTCAGGGCCTGCAGGAAAATGCAGTTAATTTAACTGATTCATGCATTCTCCAGCCTTTCCTCCCCCTCCCCAAGGAAAGACCAAGTTCAAAATCAGCCTTTTGTTTCTGATTTTTTTTTTTGTTTGTTTCCAAATACAACAATGTTTAAATGTTCCCATAGAAACATCATGTTTGTTTTCCTTGAAAACTTTATCACCAGCTCCCTCTACAGTCAGAGAAATAACTAAAAATACATAATCACTGTCGGGGGGGAGGGGGGGGGGGGGGGGGGGAGGGAATAAAAGTTCAACTGTCTTATTATGACTATTAGAGTATTAACCAGAAGCTTAACTGTACTATATGTTGACCAAGCGTATAAAGTAATAACAGATTGTTTATAAGAACTGATACCATAGTCTTAGTGAAAAGGAATCAGGAACAAGGAGAAGGATTTCTCTAAGGGAAGCAGGGTGAGCACAGAGGAAACAGATGGCTGGCAATGGTGGATCACTGGGATTCTCTTTTTACGTTAAAAAAAATAAATGTCACAGCCACACTTCACAGAGGCACGTGCACCCACTCAGAGAATCAAGATGTTTCAAAGTACTTGCCAGAAATCCACACTGTTCTACATTTTATATGTATTTACTTATGTATTTTATTGCAGTTTACTTTGAAGACTTCTTTTTTTAATCTCTGATTTGTTCAGTGGGCTTAAGAGGTCTTGCTTTTTCTAAATCAGCCTAAAAATAAAACATGCTCCCTCTGTAATGGAATGCAAAAAAACTGGTACACTCCGCTAAACAGCGAAAGGTACTGGTCAAGGGAGGAATGTAAACTCATGTTAACTGTTACTTAAAAATAAAACCAAAAAGTATTAAAGTGATTCCTAGGTACAGATAATGGAAAAAAAAAAAAAAACAAAAAACAAAAAACAAAAACCCAACCTCCAAAACAACCACCAACCAACCAGAAAAACCCACACCCAAAAATCCCACATAAAGCATGAGACAGAAGAGACTGTGGCAACTACATTTAAATCAAGTATCAATTTACGCCTTTGTTAACAACTTTGTTCCACCCCAGGTAAAGCACCTCTCTGGGCCCAGGGAGGTGATAGTGCTAACACAGCTATAATGAAACCTGTAGGATATACAATTGCTTACAAAGGCCTGAAAAACTTTAATTATCACAGAAATAGTGTTTTGAAACACACTGCAGTAAGTGGTAAGCAGCTGCCCAGAATGAGTAAGGGGTCCCTGAAGGGAAAATTGCTCCTGAAGTACTGAGAGCAGTTTAATGGCGATGGGGCTGATTAGCAGCAGAGCCATACTCCATAAGGACCAGTCAACTTCACATGGATTTGATTAAATCTTCCATAAGTACTACCAGTATCATCTGTTTAATGTCATATCCTGAAGCCTTTTTAAACAGAAATAGGAAAACCTTACCTTGTTCCTCTGTTAGCTTGCTCAAGACTTACTTGCCTAGATGTTGTAATACCATACACAGTAAAGATCAAACCCATCTGAGGGAGATCTTTCAATAGCAGGATTTTTTCCTACAAAATGCATGGTATGTGCATCAAATATGGTGATGTGCTAAAGCAGCTCTTAATGGTGAGATTTGTGGATGATTTGGAGAGATGCTGATAATGAGTAACCCAGACAGTTAAAAGCTCTTCTATACCACATTAAGAGTTTCTATATATATTAAATGCTTATTGTTTATGATTGAAGCATCACATCATTGAATATTTTACTTGGTCAGTTAAACATTTTTGGTAGTTGAATGGAAATTAAGGGAATTAAGACAACCTAAAAACATTACAACACTTTCTATCACTGTTAATTTGCTATTGCCACAAGTTTTGACCATCACTGGAATAGACTATGAAGGAGATTATGATGTTACTTTGCTTGTTAACATGCTTTCTATTTTACAAATAGAATTTTCTACTATTTCTGCAATTTGTGGGTTTTTTTTCATAAAGTAATAGAAAAAGAAAATGTAGCAAGATGCAGTATAACCACAGTACATGATGTGCAAGGTGAGACTCTACAGCATGAAAAAAGTCAGATGACAAATTTCATACTTGTTCTAAATTCTGCAAATTCATTTATCCTGTTTGCAAGACTGCACTAAAGACAAAGCTCTCATCCACTACAATGATAACTTCAACTTGGAAATGACCAAAACTTAAGGATGCTGAGGCTCCTTCCAGGGTGACTTAGTTACTTACACTGGTGATTCAAGCCTAATCACCTGCCTGTGTTATTTAGCACACTGTCAGCACACTCTGCTCTCATCTAGAAAGTGGAAAAAATTTTGAACACCCTAACCATGCCAAAATGAGAAAGCCTGGTTCTTTAGGTACAGCCATACAGATTCAGCTTCAGTTCCAGTGATTCTTGTTTCAGCCAAGAAAGTAACTGCCACAGGAAGTACAAAGTTACATTCATTTTTTCTGAAATATCTTTTGTAGGTACCACCAGTATGCTTGAGCAGGAAGAAAGGAAGAGACTTTTAATGACAGGTGGACTAGCAAGATATTTATACTCCCACAAAATAACTAAAAGTTATGTTTTTAAACATTCTTCAGATCTTTAAGAACTAAATATATGCTACTCTCTATGCACGATTTGTAAATATTCCATTTACTTGTACATCAGAATATAAAAGCCATGTCACTAGCCCGTTCACTAACACACATTTATAAACAAAATACCATTGAGAGCAGTCCAAAGATGGTGTTACCTTTTACTCGGGTAAAAGGTTCTTCACACAGAATTGGAACCAATTAGGTATTTCAGAAATGTTTTTTCTAACTTCCTAGACTCACAGCTATAATAACAGTGTAAAAGAAGGTAGAATAGTCATAACCAAGTATGTAGCAAATGTCTCAAGAGAAGTAACACCAATAGAATATCACCTACAAGCAGCAGCCTTAACCTAGTAAGGTGGCTTTTGAAACAACCACCTCTGCTCACATCTTGCTATGCAGTTCCAGAATAAAGCAAAGGGTGGGGTGGAAAGGTGGAAGAACCCCCACGAGAAACCAGAGAGACACCAGAGCAATTCACTCCTTGATCAGGCTGAGCAAATAGCCTTCCCATGCTCTGGGTTACAGCTGCCATCCTGCGTGACCCAGCGAGCCAACGCTGTTTTCTCCTCCCAGATGCTGCCATCAGGAGCTTCTTGATCCCGTCCAGGATGAGGAAATGCAATCCATACCGAGTTTTGTAACACTGATGATTAAACATATGTTTAAACTTGTACTTGCCTCTGGGGTGTATTTTCCTCAGTTACAAAGCCCATTTCATGTGCAGGAGACTTAAGTCAGCAGTTGGTGACTGCTCTTTCGTTAACTATTTCAGCACATTCTAATCTGTCACTGTTCCTGGGTGTGCAGAAGCTGATAAAAGCTGATATGAGTCATCCTCTTACGGATCTTCATCCACTTCCTTTACAGGACTGGCTCTCAGCCTGCAAGTCCCAATGCAAATGAATTCTTCATGCGAATTTTCAATTCTACTCCTCCTTTTACAGACAGAGAAGTACATCAAATAAACCAGGAAAGCTACGTAAGATTAAAATGATTTTTTAAATCTACTTTGTAAATATTTATCTGCTTTATTAAAATAGTCTGTCATAACAGGTTATGCTAACTATCCTGAATATTCTTCAGCTTTCTAATAAGAGCATGTCCTGTCTTTGAAATAAAGCATTATTAGAAAACAACTAATTTAAAGGCCTCTTGCAAATAGTATTAATTTTATATAGCTTTCTAAAGTGTTAATCTGCAATTTATGGGACTTCCTTTCTGCAAACACTGTAACCTTGTATTC